TTACTTACTACTACTACTAACCGTAACCGTAACGACGGTAAGTAGTAACGTACTACTACGGTACGACGTAGTTCGTTCTTACTTTACGTTTACTAACTAATAACTAACTACTCTCTCTCTCTCTCTCTCTCTCTCTCTCTCTCTCTCTCTCCCCTTTACTTTGCCGGATCTCTAATCCGGACAATTTAGATTGGGATCAGTAGGTGGGTCATCCACCCTACCGATCTATTCTTGAAACAAATTTATTTTTTAACCATATTTTTGGATTTTTCTAATTGTTGTTCAAGCCAATAACATCAAATTTTCTTCATATTCATGTTTTATATACTTTTTTATTTTTCTATTGTTCATTTTTTTGGGTTTTACTATTTTTAATTTTTAGAGATTTTCTGCCATTTTCCCTTTTCTTGGGCATATTGGGGTTTTGTGGGGGCTTAGGTGAAGCAGCTCGGACTTGCGCAAGTCATTATGCTCAGCAAGGGACCAAGTACCTTGCCTGAGCCTCATTTCAAAACATTCCCATAATCAAATTTCGCTCAAATAATGAGTACATGAATTTCCAACTATATCATCATCTTTAATATTTTATTTTGGCTCTAGTCACAAGAGATACACGTATAGCAAGTCCTAGGAAATAGGAATAAGCATTAGCAAAACATCTGAGACGAACATTTACCTTTTTATTATCTTCAACATAGGACCTAAGAAGATAACGCGAATACTTGTCCCTATCATCCTCAGAAGCCAGCATATTGATCATATCTTGACCAACAGCAGCACCACACGATGGATCAGGGCATCGCAACATCAAGCATCCAGGACCATCATTTATTGATGTGCTTATGTAACCTAACAATGAAACAAATACAAATTTTGAGAACAAATAAAATGTAGCATTACCCTGAAATTGCGATGAAATTACTCTTTGAGTACCACAAAATTATTGAAATGCTGATAAGAGATCAATGCAGATCACTCAGCCAAAAAATCTTTAAAAGATACCATAGAAGAACGTAAAAGAAATTCACCATAAAAGGGTCAGCCATTTGCCACAGTTCCAACTCTACCATAATTCTCGAAGTATTTCAAAATGAAGCAAGCATAACTGTATAATAAGAGTGGAACAGGCTCAACGCATCGGTAGTCAGGGTGGCAGGTTGCCACAATGTGATGTCTAGAATTTGATTCCTACCTAGTCCAAGATAAGATCAAAAAGAAAAATGGTGGGGGCAGGGGGCCACAATGTGATGTCTAGAATTTGATTCCTACCTAGTCCAATATAACATTGAAAAGAAAAATGGTGGCAGGGTGCCACAATGTGATGTCTCAAATTTGATTCCTACCTAGCCGAGGTTAACATCGAAAAGAAAAAAAGAAAATTTAACAGTGAGACTGCACTCATCATTGTCAATTTACAAGTCACTTTTAACATATTCCATAGTTAAGAAGACAGCACATTCCAACATCCAATATTTCTTCATTTTTGACAAATAATCGATTAATTTACTAAATATGGATTTGCAAGGGTGTTGTGTCATATTTGTTTATAAAATAGCCCTAATTAGAGACTTTCATGCCATTTATATTTGATTGATCATGCACTCACCTAAAATAGAAAGGTTCTTTTAAAAAAATGTTCCTGCTAAATAGCCACATTATTTACAAGTTAATATGAAGAAGAGATGTATATATAACAAAATAGATGTGTTGATCCTGTTAATAAAAATTTACAATTAGCTTTTCCAATCTCTTAAATATACCAATTACATTCTACTGTTTTAATCTTTCCAAATTGTTTACCCTATCCACTCCCTCAGGATGAATACTAGTTCAAATTTTATTTATTATAACACTCCAAATCGGCAAGTTAAGGAAGAAAATGAGTGTATTCTAACACAAGGGAAGTATTTGTGACGGTAACAAAAAGCCCCTTTTTTCTTGCGATTTAATAAAGCCTTTAACATGGTGTCTCTAGCTTTCTGAATACCATCATAACAAATTTTCTAGATTATTACTTACTACCCTTAGTTTTTCTGGCTGTTTTGGCCAAAAAGAGAATAAGGAATTCAGCTACATTAACCAATTATCGATCTAATCCATTCAATTTGCTCTTAGATTCTACATCGACCCACTTTCAAGTAGAGTTTCTTTGTAAAGATTAATCATCAGACAATGCCAACTTCCAGATTCTTTGTTTTTTTTAATCCTTTTTGCCAAGTAATAAATATCTTGTTTATAATCAACCAAATTGGCCCTAATATTGGCAGCACTAATATAGCAAGCCTAGAAGAGCTCTTCTCATGGAAAGCCAACAAGAAGTACTAATGTATACATTCCATAGAGAATCACTTCAAGGAAAGGAAAATAAAAAACTGATCATAAACCAATAAGATGCAATAATGGAAAGACATGATGCTGCATAATCCAATCAATCAATGAACCAGAAAATAAACACCATACAATCTATGATATGGTGATTTTGAAGTATTTTATAAGTTCAAAAAGAACACAACTATCATCCGAGTATGCAGCATTTCTCTATTCACATGCCCACAGCAAATAGAAAGGGCACTACCTGTCCAACATGCACAACAAAAATGATGACCACAAGCAGCAGCATTCATCCGCTCACAAGGATAAGTCTCAAAACATATCCCACAAGTAGGCTGCAATCAACACAACAAACATCAGAACCAAAAATACAAGAAGAAAAACTTAACAAGAAAAAATAGGAGTTCCTTTCAAATACCAAAGTTGTAACGGTTTAGGAGTAAAAACGACAAGCATACTTCTTTGGGACTTAAGTTAAATTCCACAACTGGCTTCTCCAGCAAACCAACAGTCTTCCGAACTCCCTCCTCATCAACAAACCATGCGTCATGGACCTTACTGACATCCCTGTTCAAGGAAAGCATTCTTTTCAGAACATATATTTCTACTTTAGCATGAAGTACTTAGATCTAAGCATACTGTGATCAGCATGTATGAAGATCTTTTTCAGTCAAGTATAGATTCCAAAAAAAAAAAAACAAGAATCAGGATGCATTCCAAGAAAACCAGAAGTATACAACAATCATTTTAAGGCGCTATTCTCCAAATAAAAAGTATCGGATTTGACATTGCATCCCATAAACATCATAAAAATAATAATAATAAAGTAATGCTCGAATTAATTTCTTTGAAACTAGGAAGGTTTACAACAATGATACAATTCTGTTATGTAGATTCATCAGGGTAGCTTAATAAATCTCAAGGAGACTCAAAATACAGAGGCAACCAAGTAAAGAGGAAACAATTGCATAAAACACTTAGCTGAGCTAAATCAAACAATCAGGCAATTATGGGAAGTCAGGGCAGAGTCAACCCTGAACCAAGATTCATAATAAACTCTCAAAGCATTTCTTTGAGATGAGTGGACAAGAAAAGAATATACAAGTTAAGGCGCTATTGTCCCCGATTTGAAATCACATTCCATAAACATCATAAATCAATACTAGTAAAGACACATACCAATTAATATTTTTGAAACTAGGAAGGTTTACAATGATAATGCAATTCCGTTCTGTGGATCCATCAGGATAGCCTAACAAATGTCAAGGAAGCTAAAAATAGAGATGCAACCACATAAAGAGGAAACAAGTGCATAAAGCGGTGAGCTGCGCTAGCCAAATCAAACAATTAATTCAGACAACTATGGAATGTCGGGGCGGAGTCAGCCCTAAACCAAATTTCATAACCAACTCTTGAAGTGTTTCTTTCAAATGAGTTGACTTCGGCAATACCCAATGCAAGCCTGACAGACATTGTGGATCTCTCTTTTATCAAGCACGTAATATTTTGACACAAAACTAATGAGATTTCTGCTTTTTGATACCATTAACATGAAATGAACTATTTTGAGCTACAAAGTATGCAACAGTCGAACATTATTCCCCTATCATAATATGCTTTTCGCTGTTTATAAATTTCTTTACAAAGGAAACGATTAATGGATTTTCCTGCTTACATCTTAAGCATGACTGCTTCTTAGTTGCATTCGATGCGATTCAGATATGCTATCCTGCTTTGAAGAATTGGCTAGTTTCTGGCTTATATTCTAGGCAGAATGATAGAATCATCAGAGGGGAGGCCAGACAGTACTTTTGTCTTGGAGAGGGTGTGAGATGTTTTGACTGTCTAGGCTTTGGCCTAAGGGAGTTCAGAGGGGTTAGAAACCAGGACGCATGCAGAGACTGGTTCAGTGTTGGGGACAGTGAACAGAATAGTTGATAAACTGCTCCCTGACGTCGTGGCTGCTCATGCAAGCTCAATATCAATGAAAGCTCCACAGCGAGTCCAAAATCCTTACTTTTCAACCCTCTCTGTGGAAGTTGAGTTTCCACAGATATTAAGGCACTGGAGATGCTCACAAGCCTCAGAATTTCAAACATGGTATGAGCCCCCCTATGGTAGGAAACTTTCTTACCATCCTTGTAGAACAGATGCCAGACCAGACCATCATTGAAGGTTGGAAAGATGTTTTTGGCTTTTTGCAGAGGCCTTGGACTCAATCATGAGATCACAACTTGATGGTTACGTAACACAAGAAGAGAGACGAACTCAGAGGCAGATTTCCCACCTTATGGAGGAACATTTACAAACCCTCTGGTGATTGAGGCGCCTATGTATCAGCATTGATTGCAAGTATGTCCATCGTGCATAGCTTAATAAGGCATGCATTTTTAAAAGGGTTTTTGAAGACCATTAAAGATACCCTAAAGTGATTGCTCTTGACCATACTAATGCATATTTTATTGAAGATTTATTTTTCTATGTAAATGCAACTAAAAGCTAGTTCAAAGAGTTTTATACCACAATAAACTTGATCAAATTGGTCGACATGTGGAAGTCAATTACAAACATCCTCAAAGAGTGCGCCCCATTGCCAGGACATATTTTATGCTAGTATATACATGGAAATTTAAAAATATATATATATATATATATAAAAAATTAAGATCACCAACCAAAGATTATATATGCATGAAACCAGCATGGCGGAGGAAATTAGTACAGTACCAATTATAGTGACGCAAGAGTATGCTTGCAGCCACTCTCGATATGAAAAGTACAGTGGATATCCCTGTTATATCCTCTTCTTGGCGTACGCATATGTCTTCTTCACTCAAAATTATGTAGTTCTGCTGAAAAGAAGAAACCAAAATATCAGATCAAGAAATGCGCAATCATCTCAATAACATAAAGCGTAGCAACTCCAGAGCCCATGCATAAAAGAGATACTGACAAAGAAATGCCATACACATGCAAATGCAGCAATCAGAAATGAGTACTTGATTCATATATGATATGGCATATTCCTGTTTATTATTGCTAATTCAAATATGATATAATAAAACAATATATGATATAACAAGATCAAGACGATTGTACAAATGCAAACAGCCAAACAGGAAAGAGTCACGCAAATGTTCGTCATGCAAACTGTTCAACATTATTACCAATTAGAATACCAGAATCTCAATACTAAATTAAAGTTGGGTTTATGTCATCCCTATCAATTAGGAGACAAAACAAGTTAAAATATGATCATGCATATGCAAACTGAAGAAAAAAATATTCTCAGAAGACCATAAATGGGAAACTACAAGTACAAAGATTGGAAAATATAGAGCAAAGCAATCTGAAATACATGGAAAAACATTTGAACCCAAGATGAACCCACAATTCAATCAAGGAGCCACTTCAGTACTGGCAAATGGGTTCACACAATAACTCCTTTAAGAAAAACAAACACGCAAACATGAAAACACATCAGTTATAGATTGAACTACATTATATGACCACAACAAAAATTTCCATTAGATCAATGTTCAAAAATACGTAGGCGCAGGCCTAGGCGTTTTGGGGGCCTGGCCGTCTAGGCGGGCGCCCAAGAACAAGGATGGGTGGACTATTAATTAACATGAAAGTTATATTATAATATTATTTATTAATTAATATCCATAAGATTTGGTTTTGGATATCAAATATTCACAAAATATCAATTTCATCCAAAGTTTATGACTATTTACAAAACCCCAATTTCATCCTCCAAATGAGGAGAAATTCAATAAATCTTTAAAAAAATTGATCTTTCAACTACAAACATATAAATATATCGTAAAAGAAATAAAAGGTAAAACAAAAAAAAAATGATTCACAACATAATACGTTATAGCAAAATCAAAGCAAAACCCTTATTCAAATATGATAATACTCTAAAAAAATATCAAAATCAAATTGATGTAACCTTGCCTATTGGGTCGCCAAAAGTCCTCAAAATCGACTAGTAGAAGATCCCAAAACACCCACGAGCTATCGCCTTTGTTTTTGAAGGAAATCGAAAAAAATAAAAAATTTATCAATCTTTCAATAAATCACAAAAGAGAGGTTTTTGGGGAGTTTTTCTCTCTCTAAAAGGCACAATTTTGGTTTTTAGGGTTTAGAATATCCCCCAAAACCCTTTCCCCTACCCCCCCCCCCCCCATTTTAGGGGGGATGACAAATTTTGACCCTCGTCGAGGCTTTTTTCCGCCATTTGACAAACTGTCACGAGGCAGCCACATAGTCTGTAGTGTCTAGGCTGGTACCTAGGCACAGGACGCCTAATAGTCCCGCCAACTAGCGCCTAGGCATTTTTGAAATTTTTCTACCTAGGAGGTTGGGCGGGCAAATTTTTGAACATTGCATTAGATTAAAGTAAACATGAAAGGAAAATAATAGAAAGGAGCGGAACACCAAATCAAGTTTCAACAATTCAAACTATGAACAACACCATTGCTCAAGTAGCACCATAAAGCACGAGAAGCCAAATAAATATGTTATACCAGTAATTGCAGCTGTAAGAATACAAAGAACCAAATAATAATAATAATTTCAAAAAATATACTATGAGAGGGTGGTCACAACTAATCTTAACCATTGGATGTGAAATTGGGTGGTTGCATGTATTCCATTGACCAAACTCAAAGTTCAAAATAAATTTTCTCAAACTTTGTGACACACCCAAGCTATCACATGGTTATAAATACTTGTGACCTCCTTGTACCAAAGGTAAATAATCTCATTGTATACAATATAGAACAAAGGTTCCAGCATGCAACCTCCAAAACCTTTGAGTGCAATTCGCTTGCTGAGGTTGGATACTAAACAATAATCAAACAAACATCCCCTTGAAAACACTTTCCAATCATTCAAATGAGAAAACAAAACAGTATTCAAACGCCTACATAAAAAAACACAAGCAAATTTGAGAATGTAACTGCCCAAGGAAAAAAAAAAAAAAAACCTAAGATATCACCACTAGCCAACACACTGCTAGTAAACAAGCAAGCAAAGAACCAAAAAAAACAAAAAAAACATCTAAATTTCTAATTTTTAACAAAACCCAACAGGTAGGATAACCATCAGGTGCAAAAATTCCCTAACACTACACTTGGCAAACATCTCATGACAATTTACATCAATTTCCGCAATCACAGTAAAAAAGATAGCAAATAATCATCAAACCAGTCATCGATTTACTACAATGTTGATTGATTTAATATAAAGTCCCTGAATCTTTTTCAAAGTCGTCAATTTTATGTAAGAAGACTACCAGATAAAGAGAATAATATATCAAAACATGGGTCAAGGTGAAAACATCAATAGAACAATAATTCCAGTACCATCCACATATTAGCTAACTATTATGAATAGTTAAAAGAGAAAAGCAGACAACTTTGCACAATTATCAAATCAAGATCCTTAATTTCGTGCAACAACCATTGATTCAGATAAGATATGCGACAAAAAGCAAGCCAAGAATCAATCATCGCATGAAATAGGGAAAAATTAGTTTACACAAAGGAATGCAACAAAAGGCAACCTAACAATCAATATTCACAGGAATCAACCTAAAAAATCAATATTCACAGGAATCAGGGCAAAATACCTGCTGCCTATGTGAAGTTCGATCCTCTGAATCATCACTATCATTATCTATGAACTCGTAATCCCCATCATCTTCATCACTGGCCAAGGCCGTCTCTCCGCTGTAGAAATCATCGAGGGACTCCACATCATTGGCGTCGTGCATGTCATCCTCGGAATCCATGGCACTGCACCAAACCCTAGGGCTCCCTACAACACCTCAAAACCTCAAATTGCAGAGAAACCCCTTGACGTCACTGATAGGGTAAGACGAGGCCAATTTGAGAGGAAAATCAGCCAAAAGAAGCAGTAAAGGGCGGATAATTCAGAGGAGAGAGAAGATAAGCGATCCGATGAAGATAATAGTGAATATTAGAGAGAGAAAGACAGAAAAACATAAAGAGAGAGAGAGAGAGAGAGAGAGAGAGAGAG